TCCCTAAACCAAAACCTTCTGTACATTAACAAGAGCACCTGATGGATGTGTAGAAACGATGCCATGGCCAAACTTTGTCTCTTTGTCAAATTTCAGAACAGAAAACACAAATGGGCTTGATATTTGTAACAGATAAAATCCAAACAGAACTGTATGTCTGCTTTAACAGCTTGTAAGCCCTAAGATCATTTCTCTGCACGGGGATGCTTAATGACTGGAACTGGATTAGAAACCCTTGCTGACCACAGCTTTCTGTTCAGCCCATTTCTATTCAGAGCACTAAATTAGCTACCTTTGTGCTATGCCTGATTCCTGCCCAGGGGGTTAGGGACATGTTTGTTCTGCATAACCATGGCAACAAAGTTGGCAATTAGCATCAAGTTTGGCTATTCCCCTGAGCAGGATTTACCCTGTGAACTTCATTTACCAGGCACCAAGCAGCCAGCAGTGTCACAATGATGCATTTAATACGGTCAAGACTGGATTTGAATACAGTATTAATAGAAGACACTATAACCTACTAATCCACATTTGTATTTCCTTTTTAACTGCCTCAATAATCATCTCTTTGCTCTTGCATGGCAAAGCTAATGCACTAAAACTCACCTGCTGAATGGAGCAATCACATCATTCTCTCAAAGTATAACTTCTTTTAGTAGATTTACACAATGCATTAAATTAAATACAGGACAAAAATTAAATATATACACAGGGGTAAAATGTTACTAAATGAGATCTGGAAATAAATAGATTAAAAAATTGAGGCATAGATAAAAAATAGATGAAAAGACAAAATGCCATTTACTAAAGAGATTAATAGTTGATAGCGCCATGACTGATGGTTTTTCAAAGTAGTGACTTATTTTATGAGTATTCACAATCTTAAATGCAAGAATCTTCATTCTGTTCTGTGTTTATATAGTGTTTAGAACAGTAAGGCACTGGTCTGCTGCCAGAGTTTCGAGGTGCTTCAGTGGTACAAATAAAAAAGAGCAGCAGATTAAAATGATTATTAGAAAATATTAACAGCTTATCTTAACTTCTGGTACTATGAAATTAGGGCCTGGATTTCAACACAATTCTGAGTTACTGATCAATTTTGCCATTTGCATCCTTTTTATAGTTTGCACAACTATTTTTACTCTAAAGTTAGGTAAATCATGATAGCATTGATGGCCCTCTGAAGTTATCTTATTATTGTTCTTTCTTTATTACAGTACAGAGTTCCTTGGTTAGAAAAGAAACCCTAATTGTGTTGTGTCTCTGTACTTAATGCCCTGCAGTGCAGTACCAAGTGCTGGCCATAATTGTAGAATGAGTTAAGAAAAAGAAGATGAACATTTGATGCAAAATGGGTCTTGTGAATGAGATATGAGTTTAAGAGCCTTTTTTTTTAAATGATGGTGAGCCATCTGTTAATATTGATGGCTCCTATGCTCATAAGGAGGAAAACTAAATATCTTCATCATGAAACATGATATAGTAATATGTGCAAAAAGACTATCCCAGTATTCATTTGTGTCTGTCCAAACAGAGTGACTGGACATGATGCCTGTTCAAGGAAATGGCAAACTAGGCCTTGCCATTTCTAAAGTTTATTAATACTTAAGGTGTGCTTAGTCATGTCCTTATAATTTTTGATCTTCTGTATTAGGTAAAGCTGAAACACTTGAAACTGTGCTAAGGTGGAGGAGAAAAATACCTTTGGACTAATAGCATCAAGTTTCAAGGAGGCAGCAAGTGCTCAAAGACGTGGTGTATTTCTCCCATAAAGACAGCAATGTCTGGGTGATGAATCAAGGACAGAGGAAGAGAAGGGGGATATAAAATAACTAGCATCATGACATCAAAAGTTATGTGAAGCCAACACAAACTAGGCAGGGCTAACTGTGCCACGCTTTGCTCGTAAAATATGTAAAGAAATAAATTCACTGCTATTTAAAAAAAATGCATAAACTAGCAGAAGAGTACTCACATGCTTACAGTATCATTTAATACACATATTTAGTTTAATCCAAGCAGTTAACAAGTCCTGGAAAACAAAGCAAAACCACTTTATCTTGGTTCAAGCAAAGCATTTGAAGGCAGGTTCCCCTAGGAAATGAGGCCTGTGTGATTGCACTGCCAATCCATCTGTCTCTCCAATAACTTCTCAACCTCGGACCTGTTTCAGCCAAATTCTGCACAGATATGACATTCCCAGCAAAGCTGAGTGAGCACAAAGTTCAAGGAGCTGGCAGCTCAAGAGAAGAGGGACCTACACCAGTGCCCCCACTAAAGAAGCTCTGCCGAGTGAGCTCAGCAGCTCTTTTCACTTTGCTCCCCCAGGCCAGTTCTTCATCAGAGCCAACTGCAATCCCTGCTACCATTGCCCAGCTGCTATCTGGAGAGAAGGAAGGCAAGCAAAGGTAGCTGGAGGGGAGGGAACCACAGGGGACACAGAGGGAGCAGGGGTTGAGGGGTGGGCAAAGAGCTGGGAGGCAAGGATTCAAATCCAGGCAGCCAGGATTCATTAGTTCCACTGTCACAGAACAACTTGTTTCTAAGTATTACAGTTCAGCCAAGAAACCGCTAAAAGGAGTTATTTGCACAGCTCTGTTGATACTGCATTTTCTAAACCTTTATTTGCTGTCATTTTGGATCCTGCCTCCACCCATGAAGGCTTGTGCAGGGAGAAGATTTGATCAATCCTCAGCAAGCAGAAACAAACATTTACATGGATGAGAGAAAGAAAAGATGCATAATTACATCAATCTAGAGTTGAAAATATCAGGTTGCTTTAAATATGCCAGAGGAGAACTTGTCTCCTTCCAAAGAGAGATATTTTCTGTTTCTTTTCATCTGCACCGTGTCTCCTATGTTTTACTCTGCTTGGGAATAGTAGAATGTGTGAGTAAGGACAGAGTTTACCAAATACTGAATTAGTTGGGATTGATTTAACCATTTAGGCTTTTACTTGTGCTTAAGGAAATGTGCTAGACTTTGAAGAAGTTGTTTGATGCCATTTTTCCCAAGTGAGATGTAAACTGATTCTCCTCCTTTTCCTATAAAGGGTCCCATAAAAAGTTGTCCTGTGACATACACAAAAGGACACCAGAAAAGAAATAGCCCAGTTGGCAGAAACCACTCCAGACAGATGTATTTGTGAGCTATACATCAATTCCTTGCTCTGTCAAAAACTGACTAGATAATATAAAAGTAGCCAGGTCACTCTAGAATACGACGTCTTACAAGGACAATGTCCCAGTTTTTCCCACGTGTCAAGATCTGTGACACCTGCTCCATTATTATGGTACCCTTCATTCCTGGGTGTCATTAAGCATGAGTCATATCCAAAATCAGCTTCAGTTTTGCTCCAGGTAGGGCAGAGACCCAGCCATTAACAAGGTGCTTGACCAGGACAGAAACAGAATTATCTAAATTAAGAGTTCTAGTGTCTATCAGATCAGTAGCTGGCACTTAAAACTCTAGTTGTTATTCGTTTAAAAAAAGAATCCCTGAAGGAGTGGTACAAACTCTTGGAAAGCCTTTACTGCTTACATTTTTTTTTTAAGTGCAGAAATATAACTCCCCACGGTGTGCTCCCAATACTAGTAGTGGCTGAGGTTCCCAAAAAGCTGGTTCAATACCCATGGAGGAGATAAGTTTGGACCATTCCTCAATGCCTTGCCAGCTACCGGGTGGGACTAGAAACACCTGGGCCTAAATCATCCTGATAAATGTTCCCATCCCAGTGCTGTGTCTACCCAAACCATCTGAAGGTATCTCCTACAACTTGTCCTGAAAACCTGGCCCTGAGTTACCATGTGACTTCCAGAGGACCTCTGGGGCTCCTTCTTAACTGCAACTGAGATGTGGGAATAGAAGAGAATGAAAAATACTGGTATGTGCCCAGTTCTCTCTCAGAATAAGTGGCCAAAGCAGATTGCATTGCAGAGGGGAAAAGGGTCTTGATCATTGAGTTCAGATGTAACATCAGCAGCTTCCTAGAGAGAAAAGCAGCAGAATTTGCCCACAAGCAGCGTTATCACTCGGGTTGTGTGCTCTGCAGAGCTAAGGGAAAGCTAAGATGCAGGAGCCAGAAAGGACCATGCACTCTCTCATGGAGCCAGCCTCAACTCCAACAGTGAAGCCAAAAGTTTTTGCTGAAGAGAAGCAGAGTTGTTCCAGGAGTGTGGAGAGGAGCAAAGAAGTCTGGGGGGGAAGTTAAAGAGAGCTGTGGGAGATAGCTGTACTCACTCTCCTGCCATCATCTCCTGTCCAGATTATGCCAGTCTTTTCTTTATTCTCTAGGTGCCACCTAATGGGTGGTGGAAGGAAAAAAGATAAAACCATGAGGCGGTCATGGCGGAGAGAAATGACCTTTCACACCAGAGAATGCACAGCTGCTTTGCTGGTGGAAAGAGCTGGATGCAATTCTTTCCCATTGCTGGCCTTCCATGTGAACTGACACATTCACAGAGCTACAACTGAACATGTGAGAGCTGTAGGCTCAAGAAGGCCCAGATCATTTTCTGTTGCCTCCATTGATCTGGCACTTGTGTTCTTAGATTTCCTCTAATCCAGACAAGGATTCTGACAGGGCTGAACAACTCCACAGCCAGCAAATAAAGTTCAGAGTATATCGGTATATCTTATATAATGCAGCACTGACTTCCCATATGTTCAAAACAGATATGGGAGGAGACACCAGCTATGAAAATGCCCCATATGAACTAAAGAATCCCTTGTTTAGGAAGCAAGAAGGATTCCACAGGAGTGTGCTTCAGCAGCAGACCTACCTCTATGCAGCAGCATCGAGGGCTGCCTGAAAGAAAAAAGGGGATTACAAGGCATTTGACACATTACTTTTTTCTGCTGAACAAGACCTGCATGAATCCTATCTCAGAATAGCTCACAACTGAAATGCATTTATTATTTACCTTCCCTTCATCAGATGACAAAGAGAGGTGTAACTTTGCTGTGCTTCACAAAGGGAATGGCTCTCTGCACAGCAACTGTAACCAAAGGTTCCCAAGATCCAAATTAGTTTTGACACAAATCCTTCCATGAATCTGTCACTGGCCTTCAGCACCGTGGTTCTCCTATGGATTAAAATCAGGATGTGAATGACAGTGATCTCAGCAAAGCAGAGACCATCTTGCAGCTCTCTGGATCTTCTGTGGTAGCATCAGGTAACTTCCTTAGAAACAAAGCTTTAATTGAACTTGAGTGACTAATATGTTCAAACCAGAAACTTTCCTGTGGGTTTTAAAAATTTAATTATATTCCATCCCCAAATTTTCCTAGTGCTACTCATTGAAAATACACAGCTGCACTGGTGAAGCTGTCAGTGAAAGGAAGCAAGAGGTTTTGGCAGCTGCACAGAGGGGAAGAGGTGAGGCCCTGGACTCATGAGAAGGCGTTGGAGACAGCTTAGGCTTGGAGATCTCTGGAGTCTGATGACATTTTTGGCGATCTGAAGAAAACTCATTTCATCCCCACCCTTCTGTGAATAAGGCAGAGGTGAGTAGGTCACCAGGCAGCAGGTCTTGGTCCCAGCTCTTGCTGCAGCAGCTCGTACGGCCACAGTCAAAGTGTGCTTGGTTCTTTCCTGCATCTGCAGGAAGGAGGACGTGCACTATCCAACATGAACATCCAGACCTGAGGTGCTCTGGGAGGAGGACTCTTGGAGCCCAAAAGTGCTCAAGGTACATATACTGGTGTTGCCAGCATGGAATTTCAGCTCAGGAGCATTTCATGCACATGCTGATGTTTCCAGCATAGATTTCAGCTCAGGAACATTGCACACATAATTCTGAGCTAGAGGAACTTCTCAGCAAAAATGTCTATCCAAGCAAGTCACTCAAAGAGCTGCACTGAGCAAAAGAACAGCCTTCCTGGTATTTGTCTTTCTCTGCATGACACAAATATATTTTCACACTGTCTGAAGCACCTCCTCCTGCATTTATACAGCTGCTACCAATGGAGAGGGAGCCAGCAGCATGGCTTCAAGGCATTGGCATAGAAAAAACAGAAATAATAATTATTTACACAACTTATTTTCAACCTATATTTCAGTAATTCAAAATGTAACAGAGAAAAGTGAAACCCCGAAGACATAGCAATATTCTAATAAGCTTTTAGATTGTGAAATACAGTAGATGAAAAATAAATCACCACCTTCAGAACAAGTCTGCCTGAATAAAACCAGACTTTCCTGTGCAATAGATGCTATTTCAGTGGGTTTAAAGTGCTATATAAGTATTGATTAGTATTAATTCTCACTGCTGTTGTTTGAGCTGCCTACAGCAAATATGGTAGAAATATCTCCTTCCCAGCCATGCAGTACAGCAAGACACTTTTAACACAGCAAAGAGAGCTTTCACTATCTTTAAAGGGGTTCAATACCAAAGTCACAGAGTATTACACCTTCACTGACATTAGTATCAGCCTGGCAGAGAATTGCAGTTGATCTCACAATTTTATTCCTGAACTAGGTTTAATTTTAAATATGTGAACAATGTACATTCATAGAGTTTCCCTTATTCAGAGCTTCTTCCCCACCCCTTGATTGCAGTAAAGCCTTTCTAATGCTGTTTCTGAAGCATTCTGCCTTACACACCTCACAGACACTGAAGAACTGGTGATATCTGAGGTGCTGTTAATCAGGACCTGCTTCTTCAGATGACACAGAAGTAGCCCAAGTGCACCCTCTGACACTGTTTAAAACCCTCCTTCCTGTTCTGCAGCCCTCCTTGATGTGGTAATGCAATAGCAGACCAAAAAAAAAAAAAAAAAAAAAAACCATGCAACTCTCGGCAGTGTACATCAATGAGGGGACCAAAATAGGTATATCAAAGAAAAATGTGACTCTGACCCATCCTTGGAACCAAATCAAAGAGTATCTAATGGCAGCAGTAGGTCTCCAAGAAGAAAACAAAGCTAAGCTAGTTTAAAATAGATCCAAAGAAGAATATGTGGGGTTTTTGTTGTGGTCACTGCCAGCCAGATTATGATTGGTTGCAAATGTTAAGGGCCCTTGAATTGCTTGAGTTCCTAATCCATCAATTTGGTCATCACTATGTGCCAAGCAATGACCTCAGTCAAAAGCCATAAATCACTGCTCAGTTAAAGAACCAAACCTGCAAGCTCCCTCCAGTATCACTTCTCTCAGCACTTGTGCGTGGGGCAGGCAGGCTGCCCAGGGCTTGGGATTAGCTGATTTACAGGGAGGAAGACAAAAGAGCTCTCAACTCCAAGTACCAAGGTTTGCATTAACAGAAGCTAGCACGGAGCAGATTGAATAAAAAGGCAATAAAAGCCAGAGTGTTTGCTTTGCATGTGGATTAAGAGCTGAAAGATCTGCATCCTTGCGGTGTGGTCCCAGTAAAAGATTTAAAGCAGCATGTAAGAAGTTGCATCAGATTTTGTATCTCCTATCCCTCTAATTTTCTAATTGCTAATCCTCTTCAGGGCATCACCAGCTACCTTGCAGTTACTGCACTTCGCAAAGAGTACCACAGGCACGTGTTGTTCATCAATGCCATTGTAAGTTCTGAGAAAATTCACTCTCCAGTCTGAAAAAGAGGAATCTCTAGCTATGTTCTATCTGGCATCAATACCAAAGGTGATTTTCTAAGTATGAAAGTTATTTCATCTTTACTTATATAAAGCAGGTGTTCAACTACAAAGCTTTCCACTATAGGAAGAGTATGGTCAAAGTGACCTTAACAAAACCTGTTGTTACAAAGATTTTGAGGATCCAGGAGAATGTAGGGGGAAGAGGGAGAAAGGAATATTCCAAACAGTAGAGAATAAGTCTGGTTACATTTTTCACCACTGAGCACTTTACAGCAAACTGTGTTTCCTGTGGAAAGACAGCTTTCATGAAGCCTTTCCACACCTCTCTCTATTCCAGTGATTTCCAGTCTTTTTTCAGATATTTCTCCGCTTATGTTTCCATACCTATATCTGTGACACACATGTATATTTAAAAGACAGTAAGTAACATTATAGGTTACAGCAAAAATACACATTGAGATGGTGTACCACTAAAAGCAAATATTTCCAAGGCAGTTTGGAGCTGAACACTGTGTCTGTATTAACAATACCCTCCAAAAAGTTTTAATCTCACAAGCTTTCTGTACATCCCAAATTAGGCTGTGCAATTACAGCAAAGGCCACGCATATTATTCATTCAAATTTAAATACAAGAGTCAGTCTTTTCAGAAACAGACTGTATTTTGGTAATGAAATCTTACCCCAAAGTAGAATCTTAAATGACAATACATCAGAATTAAAAGCATTGACAAAGTAAGTGTTTTGGGCTTTCATACATTCTTATTTTTAAATGCTTTTGGCAGCTAACTCCATCTTTAAAATTCCAGTACAATTTTGTGGAATTGCCTTCTACACTGAAAGGACATAAAGCAGTGAGAATAGATTTACCCTCTTTCTGTCTCCTGTCACAGCATATGTTGCAGTTGAGACAGCCACAATACCCAGAGTGTCACCACACAATTACAGAAAGCTTCAGCCCACACAGAGTCACACCACGGCACTTGAGGAGGCTGCAGGCTCTGCTCCCCTTGTCCTTCAGCCCAGCCTTTTATCCCCTCCTGCTGATGCACTGCCCCTGTGTGCCTCTGTGCCCTGTGTGGTTGCTCAGCACACCGGGGCACTCCATGGCTCCTCACCTTCAGTTTTATTCACCTGTCCTGCACAGCTGCACCCACTGGGGATGAGGATCAGCCAATGCCCCGCTCCCAACCACCACACACTGTGTGCCTGCAGTTTCTTCTTCAAAAGCTCCTGAGGAATAAAACCTGACACAGAGGGCATGAAGTGACTTGGTTTTCACAGCAGGATTACACAAACTACAGGAAGACACAACCACTCTACCCACTCCAGTCCTTGAGCTCCTGGCTCCAGGAAATGGAATTCCAGGGGAATCTTGCTACTCTGCCAATCCTATGGTTGGCACAACTGCACCCTCCTGTTGCAAAAGGCACTGTCATTGGAAACAGTTTTTTGTCACAGGCTTTCCTCCACACACCTGCCCCACCAGCTCTTTTTCAAATTTGTGTGCCTCCTGACATTTAGGAAATTGAGAAAGGCAATACTGCTGCGTGTGGGAATCATTGCCTTAAATCCAGTGCCCCAAGATGCACAGTGGAACTGCAGTCAGCAAGATGCTGGAGCTCCACTGGCTGCAGAAATCTTGAGGTCTGACCCAAGAAGCTCAACAGAGAAAGCAATTTAAAATATACAACTGCCAATGCAACATGGTGTCTTTTTTGGCAGAGGACATAAAAATAGCAAAGAAACGACAGCTCTGTTCTTTTTATGAAAGCCTGGCAGTTTTCCAGTAGAGACTTAAGTACTTTTTGTACTTTGGGGGGAAAAAAAAGGCGATGGGATGTGGTCCAAGACTGGTCATAGGAACCTGAGAAATATGGAATAAGAGCTAGGCTGAAGCAGCCAAAGTGGTACCACCAGCTGCAGCCCCATTAATTAACGCTCTGCGGTATGTAGCTGTAAGAGTGACCCTGATAATTGCTGAACATGAGCAGATAACTTTTAAAAACAGCTCTGCTTTTCTTACTGTGGTCTACTTACCCAAGGAGTACCTTGCACATTTCCCCCATCTCCCAGGGCAGTAAATTAGGTCTAATTGCAGAAGTATGTAGTAAAAGCTATGCTCAGCTTTCTGCAGCATTTGAAGATTTATTTTACAGTTTTAAGTTTTCTCTGGATGCTTAAAATTGGGGGGAGAGGGACCTGAGAGAAAATGCAGATTTTAGGGATCTATAAAATTTCCTCAGTGTAGACAAATAAGTTTTCCTCTTTAACTCAAACAATGGAACTGAAAACTACAGTTCTGTGGGTGACAGCAGAGCTCACTAGAAAAGAGATTAAGAGATTCCTTTCTTAGTTTTTTGAGTTTTTCTTTTAATTTGAAAAGAATGATAACTTTATCTGCTTAAAACGGAAAAAAATGACAGCACAATGAATTATTTTTACTGTACCCTCAATGTAGTTTTGTGAATAATTTTGGAAAAAAAATACCGAAAGTGGATACAGAGCAAAATTCTACAGCTTTGCTGATATCACTGACTTGTGCAAACAGCAGCAACTGCTCAGGATTTCAGATCCTTGTGCTGTGCCTTTAGTCTCTGTATGAATCTCAGTCATGCTTTCAATCCTCTTTTACAAATATTTTGTTTGTCCTTTTTGTCTCCCCTACATTGCTGTCCCCCTGTCCCTGCTATAGGCCAGCCTCCACACTAAAATCCAGCAGGGAACAGGAGCTCCTCACTCCTTCCAGAGCCAGATCCTTCTGGTAGCTGTGAACTTGACAAACAGCCTGAGGATTTTATCTCTAAATAAAACTGTTGGGTTGATCCCAGGAAACAATGTTTATCTCAGACTGCAGAATACAACTTGCATGCCCTGCGCAGAGGGGGACACTTAACATGTGCTGCTTTTAGCAGTGAGCTAAAAGTGCTTTTACCTGTTCCTGTCAGGGATCTGACACACAGGGGGAATGCTGCTCTCTTGTTCCTTAGTAAGTGCCAGCAAGGAACCACTTCCTCTGACCAAACCCCAGCACCTACACTCTGAATGCCACATCTACATGTGTGACAACAGAGATGTAATCGAAATGAAAACAAAATCCACAAACAAAAAGTAGTCACCCAACTCAAGGCCAAGCAGAAGAAGAAAAGACAGGAGAAGGTTTTTGGGCTGGCTGGTTCTTCCGGGAATGCAGCTGTGCATTCCAGCAGGCAGCAAGAATGTGGGTTTTTCCACTTATGCTGATCACAAGCTTTGCTACATTCTAGGAAAAAGCATTCATCCCCCATGCATGTGGTTGAACTACATAGCTTCACAGAATAACACTGCTCTACATGAAAGAAGTGAAATTAAACAAAGGTTCTTTAAAGGCTTCTAATGTCAGCCAGCATCATAGGGCAGAAAAATTAAGTCACTGTCAAGAACACACATTTCTTTTTCTGGCTGTGCAAGCCTGAATATACTGGGCATATCTGACATGTAGCTTGATGTTGTCTCAGGCTTTCTACTCCCACAGCCAAGTGAAACAGAATCCAGAAGTTTTGCTAAATTTATCATATGTAGTTCTTTATACCAATTTAGTATGATCAGTAATGATCAGCCAAAAAGCCTCCTCAGGTCCTTGTGTTGCTGTGTATTTTTCTGTCTCTCCAAAGAGTCACAAAGCATTGACTTTTCTTGTGCCCCACTTTGGGCTGAAACCTTCCTGTGTTGTGAACAAAGGGATGCCAACAACAAAGGAACTTCTGAGGAAGACTCCCCCTGAGCTGCTACCAGTGCTGCTTTTTAGAGACACCACTAATCCTATAGCTAATAACTGAACCACTGCAAAAGATCCTTGGAACTCCTTCCTTCTGCCAAACGGCACAAAGCTTAAATAGATAGCATCACTATCTGCCTCAAGTGTGCTCCATTAAAAACAGATCCTCCCCTCACCTTCTGACACAGCAGTGGAGAAAAAGAAGCCAAAAACCAAAAATAGAACTTTTGTAGTAGCCAGCTTGTAATGACATAGCAAAAATGACCAGTGAGGGGTGAAGAGTGACAGGACAATGTGATCTTCAAAGTGTGTGGTTTGCCAAATTCAAAAGTGAGTTTATCACTATGAAAATGCCCAATCTTCAATGGCATTTGATTCAATTCTCCCTGTTTTCTAACGATGTTCTAATGTGAAAAGAGGTCAAAATTGTGATGAATGTTGTGACTTATCTATTAATAGGTAAAAAGCTAAAAGCTGAAAGCTTGATAAAGCTTTATCTCTCCTCAGAGCAAGTGCCTACCTGTTGCACCAGTAGATGGTCCTTAGCAGGACTCATTTTAAAGTTAGAGCTTTGTCACCTCTGAAAAGAGTGTTTCATCTTTTAAACATCTCTTAAAAAGTCGCTTTGTACTTGTTCTGGCTCTCATTAATTCTAAGGGGAATTGCAAAAAGGACTAGTAGAGCTTATATAAATAATGAACAATGAGAAAAAATGGGATATAAAAATAAAATTAATTGCCTCCAAATCTGCCCCATCTCTTTTTTACCTTTCAATAATGATTACATATGTCTTCTGCACATTCAAGCATCAGAAAAATATATAAACCATTTTTATGGCATAGAGCAAAAATTTATCTCTGTATTTCAGCTTAGATCTGCAAGAATACACTTAAATTTTAGAAATGGAGCAAGAAAACCAAGACAGTTTTATTTCATGCACAGCAATTACTCCAGCTGTCAGCAGAAGTCACTTTTACTGCTAAAGCAGAAGTACAAAGCATCAAGTGGATCCCACAAAAACAACCCAAGTTTATTTTAGAAGACCACACCTTCTGTTCTGTAGGCCCTTAAGTCAGGCATATGCAAGAGCAAATTACCAAGCAGAATTAAAAGAAGTGAAAAAGCCAAGGATTCAGGCAAAAAGCTAATTTTTTTCCTTAGCACTTAGGAGAACCAAAGTTAGTACTGAATTTCAAAAACATTTACAG